AAAAAAAAAAAAAAAAGTAGTTTTGGAGAAGTAAGGGATGAAGCACCATAGAAACACCTTTTCTGTGTATTCTATTTCTTCTGTATGTATTGCATCTAACATCACATTAGTGCAAAACACAGCATGACGTTTGCTATTTGTATATAGCGCAAAGCCGTTCATTTATACCCACCACCTGAAGGCTGTGAGACTTTCCTTGTGATGAGAACTGGCTGGCAACTTCCAGACTGACAGTGCATGGCTGTTGGCTGTTGGCTGTCAGCCTTCGCCCTGCTCTGCATTGAGCCTCCTAACTTGTGTTACAGTTGAAAGCGTATCCCTCTGGGCCTTATCACTGGTCTGTCCACCCTCCACCCCCTTCCAGCCTCTGCAAACAATAAGCTGTTATCTCTGCAAACTCGGTTGTTTGTTTTGCTTGGTTTTTTTTAGATTTCAGTAGTGAGATCACTGGGTATTTGTCTTTTTCTGTTTTGACTTATTTTGCTGAGCTTAACGCCCGGTCATGTTGTTCTATAGCTAAATAATATTCCATTACATACGCACACACGCCTGAGTGGGTGGGGCTTGTCCCTGCGTGAACGGACACAAGTTGTTTTCCTGTCTTGGCAATTGTAAGTAATGCTGCGGCTGTGAATTGGGGGGTCACTGTTTTGTTTTCTTCCAGTAAGTAGCCCACAGTCAGCTTGCTGGATCGGATGATAGTTTATTTAAAATTTTTTTAGGACCAGGTCTCTATCCATAAATAAATAAATCTTTAGAAATAAATAAATAAATAAGTGAAGGCCTTAGAAAATAAAGTTTTCATCTGCTGTCACCCCAGTTTGTCTGGCCAAAGCTCAGTCCTCCTCACCTTCTAGATTATTCTCTTCCATCCTAGGATTTTTGGTTCTTCTGATTACTCCTTTTGATCAGACCTGCTACAAGTTTATTCACCTTTGCCAAGAACCTTCCCAGGTGCAGCGGGAACAGCAAACTCGCCCAGGGCCCAGATGTGCCACCTCCAGAGTGAAGAGTGACCCCAGGGCAGCGGGTGGGGAGCGGCCTGGCTCTCCAGCCCTGGGCAGGGTGGAGCAGACGCGTCTCAGGGCTCCATGGGGTTTACGGTGAAGAGGGACCAGGGGAGGCAAAATGCGGGGCACAGTTATTACTGCCCCTAGCACCCGGCATTTATTGAAAACGTGGTTGCACCGTCCCCTCCCGGGCCCACCAAGGGGACTGTGGACAGGAAAGAGCTCAGAGCTCGGGTGCAGCTGGAAAGGTGGCCTCAGGCTGGTGAAAGATACTTGGGATTTGGCAAAAGCCAGGAAGGAAATCCATTCCTGACCCCTCGGGATGGTGCAGGGCTCTGACTTTCTGAAAACAGCCTTTGGCGCCTCCAGCCCTGAGGGCAAGCTCCGGGCAGCAGATGGAGCTGGTGTCCACCACCCTGCCGCCCTCCGCCCTCCGCACAGCCCGGCCTGCTCGGAGCCCTCAGCGGGGGCTTCTGGAAGCAGGCGCTGCAGGCGCTGCAGGCTCCGTGCGCCTCCGCCCGCGAGTCCCCCTGCAGGAACCCCGTGCCCAGCGGCACCCACATCTCTGGCTGGACGGCACTCGGGACCCCCCGCCTGACGCCCCTTGCACCCTAGGTCAGCAACGGCGCGGGCCTCGGCGATGAGCGAGTCTCCAAGTTGCTGGTGTTTGGCTTCCTCCAAAACTGCTCCAACTCCGGCTTCCACAGCGAGCTGCTGACCCTGGGCTTCGAGCTGCCCATGCGGCTCCAAGGGCCCATTTTCTCCTGTGGGCTGAAGCCCCAGGACGACGAGCTGCAAACAGACGGCAACCGCAGCAGCCACCTCTTCTTCGAGGGGGAGGAGCCGCCAGGTAGGCCCAGCGCAGGGTGGGGGGGGGCAGACCTGGCTTTGCTGTCACAGTAGCACTAGGGACCCCGAGAGCCAGAAGAGGCGCCGGGCGTCTCCGCTGCCGAGCTCTCAGTCCCCGTGGTTTCTGCCACCGGGCCATGGGGTCTGCGCTCCGACGCGCCCGTGAGCCAGCGTAGCGGGGGGCCGGGGCTGAACCCCACCCCATTTCTCCTTGATTCTCTGCATCTGTGCCCTAGTCACGAGTCATAGCAGGAGGAAGCATGAGCAGACTGGGCAGGATCAGAACCTCCTGTCCAGGTGAGGAACTGAGGCCCAGAGCGAAGGGCCAGTGGGCGCAGCCGGCGCCGCCCTCGGCGCCCCTGGGCGGGCGAGCCACCAGGACCGGCCCCCCGCAGACTGGGGCCCCCTCTTGTGGGCTGCGTGTGCTGGAATTCTGCGGAAACTTCTAGGTGCTGAGAAGCCCGTGACCAGCGCGTCCTAGCGCGAGTCCCCAGGTCTTTCTGGTGTCCGCCCTGAGCAGGACCAGAGCCCGCAGAGGCCAAGGCGGTGCGGTCCGGTCCGGTCCGAGGCCCCATCCCAGGCTTCCAGCCTCAGGGCTTAGGACGCCTCGTCCGGGCTGCACTGCCCTCTGGTGGCCGCGGGGAGACCCACAGCCCGCCGGCCTTGCCCCTGCTCTGTCTGAAGTTGGGCTGGTAGGAGGGGGCCAGTCTCTGCCCTGGAACCCAGGTGTGTCTTGGCTGGTCCTAAACTGGAATAAGCACCTGACCCCCTTCTGGGGGCAGTTTAGGGGGTGGGTGGACAGGAACACGCAGGGATGGCTTTGCCGCCCGTCCCCGGCTGTCCCTCCACACCACCCCCTGCCCTCAGGCTGCAAAGCCCGCTGGACACTGGCCTCTGTGGGGCTGCGGTGGGCCTGCACACCAGCCTCCCGCTGGTGGAGATTCTCTGCCAAGACTTGGTAGCAGCTGGCAAAACAGGGGCCCTGGCCCACAGTCTGCGTGGTGGATTCCTCCCCTGAGCTGACACAGATGAATCTGGGTTGACTCCGGAAGTTGCTGAAACTCACGGAGGTGTGAGCTGGTGCTGGGGGCGCCTCGCGGGGTTGGGGGGGGCTCAGGGAACCCCCATGGCTCCTGCTGCAGAGGAGCTGGGCTCTGAAGGGAGACACTGTGGCTCTTTGGAAACCTGGGAGAGGGAGTAACAGCTGCTTGAACAAAGACCTGCAGAAGGAAGCCCAGGGCCTGTGAGAGTTTGCAGGGATCACACAAGTGGAGGCCCGAGGGGGTCGAGGTGAACCCTGGCCTGTCACTCAGCAGAGGTGAGCTGGGAGAGGTTTTGAGCAGAGAAGGGACGCCCTGCCCACACGCCTGGGCCCCGGGAAGACTGTTGTGAGTGAAGCAGACACAACTCCCAGCCGCCTTGAAGGAGCTCCCACCCCAAGGCGTGCGGGGACCCTCGCCGACGTCCCCTGGGTGCGCTGCCCTTGAGCTCCTGAGCCACCCGCCCTCCTGTCCACGCTCCCGTCCCCACAGCAGGCCTGGGTATTTTATCATCACATCGCACTCAGCGAACGGTGGCGGACGGACGGGAGGGCGTGACAGGGTCAGGGGACTGTTGTCACCATCCGATGAGTGTCGGAGGCCTCACTCCAGGGGGTGGCCGTGGGAACATGCCCGCCTGACGGCCGTGTCTGTCCTGAGACGCGGGGCCTGCCTGAGTGAGTGGGCAGCAGAGATGGCCAGAGCGTGGGTACAGGAGATTGCTCCCGGGCGGATAAGAAGCCGGAGGGAAGCTGCAAGCGCAGGAAACATTCAGGCTGTGACGGGTGAAACACCGGTGGCTGGCATTCACTGAGTACTGTTAGGAGCCAGGTGCAGCGGTCACTCGTTCATGCACGCAATTATTGGGCACCTGTTGTGTGTCTCGTGTGGTTTTCGCTGCTGCATATTTGGGGGTACGTTAAACAGAAGAAAAGTCAGAACCCTTAGGCCACCCCATTTCCGGCAGAGCGTTGACAGGTAACCTACGTGATGGAGGGGGGCTGGGAGGGGGGTGTTCATCTTGGCCAGCGGCGTGTCTGAGTAAACGGGAGCAGGTGAGAAGGCCAGAGAGCAGGGCTGGGAGGAAGCTCCCCCAGAGAGGTGGCCGCTCGCCCAGGGCCCCGGAGTCAGAGTGGGGAGTAAAGACAGCGGCTTTGCTGAGCGAGACGGCGTGGAAGGAGCCAGGCCTCGGCGGCCGTGCAGAGGGGGGCGTCCCTGCAGAGGGGGGCGTCCCTGTCTGACGGCAGCGCTCTGTGCTGGCAGCCGCCTGGTGACCCCTGTGCTCGGGGGTGTCCAGGCTGCTGCCAGACCGTGCCCTCAGTGCCCAGAGGCCTGGCACCCCCCGGCTGGCCCTTGCACAGGCTGGCTGCGCTGTCCAAGGCAGACGCCTCTGCCCAGCCAGCCTTCCACTCACTCGCTCCCTGCTCCGGCCCAGCTCTCTGCCCGGCTTCCCTGGACGGTGGGGCCACGTGGGCCACTGTGGAAGCGAGAGCCAGCCTAGCCCCCAAGCAGGGTCCCATGCTCTTGCCAGGGCGGGGGTGAGGGGTGCGGGGCCTGTGCTGAACCTCTTGTCTCGGCGTGCACACGCAGATTCTGAGAGGCAAGAGGAAATCATCCAGGACATCGCCAGGAACCTGGCCCAGATAGGGGACAGCCTGGATGGCAGGATCCAGCCGGAGCTGGTGAACAACCTGGCCGCCCGGTTCCAGGACCCGAGCCTGTCGGAGGACGTGAGTGAGCCCACGGGACTGGGGCTTGGCGGGGACACGTCGGGCGTCCGTTGCCCGTTGAGTCTCCAGGTCTGTCCGCCGCCTCCCCGTCAGACAGGCGGCTCATGGCTGCGGGCGAAAGAACTGGAAATGGAATCCGAGCGTGGGTGAGGGAACCCTGCACCTTAGCTCAGGCCGGCAGTTGGGCGATATAAAAAAAACCTCCGAAGACATTCACAAAGCTTATCTGCCTCTTAGAAAAATAAGATATTGCTTCTGCAGTTTCAGGGAGGTGAGTACCAATCCCAGTGGAGAACCTGGTCTCACTTACCCAGGTGATGCCGTGGCCCGCTGCTGTTGGCCGGTTAAGTCAATGTAAGGTACACCCAGTGCTTCTGCCGTCTGCTGAGCACTGGGGTGCCAGAGACCTGAGGCACCCGTCCTCCCCGAGGACACGGCGGGAGAGCGAGGTAGCGCCAGGCTGGCAGCCGTGCCATAGGTGTTCACAGGTGAGAAAGCCCCATCTTGACTAAGGCACAGCGCCCTCATGACCTAGAAAGGTCCTCGGGTCCAGGGTTGAGCCACTGAGCCAGGTCAGGCCCCTGCCTTTGAGGACTGTCCCTGAGCTCGGTACGAGCTCCCCACCTGCTGAGCCAGCAGCTGCGGGACCTGCCCTCAGCATCAGCGGGTGAGCCAACGAGCTTCTGCAGGCCCTGTCCGTCTGGAGGCTGTCAGGTGCCTGCCACGGAGAGCCCAGGCCCATGTGGCCCCTCACCCACCACCTGCACCAGACAGGCCACGGCTGTCCTGGGGAGTTAAGTGAGCCTCGACTTTAAGGCCCTGAGAGGCAGGGGATGGGTGACGTAGGCTGCTGCTTTTCGCTGAAGGGACCTCGGTCTATGGTCCCTTCTGTGTCACCATCCGCACAGGCCTCAGAAGGACAATTTCACGGCCAATGCCCACACGGCCGTTAGCCAGGGCCACCGGGGGCGATGCTCTGCCCTGTGGTCGGCTCTCGGAGCTGAACTGGCCCTCATTCAGCCCTCCGCCTCCCTGCCTGCTGACTGCCGCGTCTGGAGGGCACCCGGGTGGGTGGGTAAGCGGCGTCTGTCTCGCCCCTGCTGCAGGAGAGAAGGAAGTGCCTGGCCTCCGCGCTGGACCAGCTCACGCAGACGTTCCCCAAGGACATGGAGAAGGAGAAGATGATGCTGGTGCTCACCATGCTGCTGGCCAAGAAGGTGGCCGACCACACGCCGTCCTTACTGGGCGGTATCTTTCGCACCGCTGTGAACCTTATTATTAACCGGAACCTCCTTACCTATGTGAGGAACTTAATCAGAAACGTAAGCACCAGTGAGCCAAGCCCCCGGCCTCCCCCCCCCCGCTTGCCGCGAGGTGGGGCGTCAGCAGCGCCCTCTGCCGGCTGGGCCGCCTTCCCCGCTCTGGAAGGGAGACCCCCAGGAAGGCCCCACAGACCCCTCCAGGGCGAGAGGAAGGTAGTAATAAACACCTGATGCTCTCCTGCGCTTTCGTTTTATTCTTAAGGTGCTGCTGTCAGGTGTTTTGTCAGGTGCTTAAGGCTCACTTGAGCCTACTGATAAAATCGCAGACCTGGGCGAGAGCACTGTGTAGACGGGAAAGAATGTAGGAGACCTCTCAGGCTGCGTCCAGCCGCCCCTTGTCATAGAGAAATGACAGACGTGTTTGCCCAGGATAGTGGGTGAAAGACCAAAAGAAACAGTCAAAAAAAGAGCAGACAGCCCAGCTAACATCCTTCCCAAGGAACATCTCCCCCACAGAGGGGGAGGGGAAGTCACGGCTCTTGGTGAAACTGCCGGGAAGAGCCCTCCTGTTCTCCAAGCCTGGTGTCCAGGCCCATCAGGAAGGAGGTAGATGTCTCTTGTCTGTCGGTTTGGAATGTTAGGGAGGGTTTGAGGTTGTGCGCTGCCTGGCAGCTCGCCCTCGTGGGATTCCCTGAGAAGCCATGCGGCAGCCGCTCGCAGGACTGGAGGGCTGATCGCAGAACCGGGTGCAACTGGAGGCCTCTCGGCACTTGGTGATTCAATGGGTGTGAGTCCAGGTCTTTGCGCATTGGAAGATTGTGTCTTTCAGCTGCTCCCACATAGCAGAAAGTAGGATGCGAGGGTCAGACCAGGCTCCAGAGAGTGTTTTTTTTTGCATAAACCCCAACTTCCTTTTTTTTTTTTAAAGATTTATTTATTTATTCATACAGAACTGGGGTACAGGCCAGAGATGTGGAGGGTGAGAGGATTCACCAGAGACAGAGTGGGGAGCAGAACAGGCAGATCGAGGAAATACACTGCTAAGGGAAGCAGCGGGCGGGTCAGGAGAGGTCTGCCGCGCCATGTGGTCACCTCCGGGGCAGGCGGGGATCGAACTCATGCGGAAGTGGCTTTAGCTTCTTAGTGCTGTGCTTTAACCCGCAGCGCCACCAGGGAGGGCTCCCAACTTCCCTTTTTAAGATTTGTTTATACACACAAGAAGTGGGGTACAGGCCAGATGTGCCAGGGGTGAGAGGATTCACCAGAGACAGAGTGCGGACCAGAACAGGCAGATCTACAAAATACACTGCTGAGGGAAGCAACGGGTGAGACAGGTCTGCTGCGCCTTGTGGGTCAGCTCCCTGGCTGGGGATCGAACTTAATCGGCAGCGTCTGCCGGCAGCGTCATGTGCTGTGCTTTACCCCTTCCACCACAAGGGGGCACTCGTGTTCTTAACGCGCCACCCTGGCCTGCCAGTTAGACTGACCCTGCTGTGTTCCTTTCTTGCTCTAGGAGATGGACTGATTCCAGGACTCTGTGAAGCATGACGGGTTAAAACTTGAGATGGCGACAGCAGGAGATAGCTGCCTCCCACGAGATGGAGCCCGGCCATTTAAGCAAACGTCTGAAATGGGCAAGAGGAAATAGCTATTTATTTGTCCCTGTGTTAAAGATGATGCTTTAAGCTGGTGACCCATTTAGAAATGTCTGCATTAATATACTTGAATGAAAATGTCGATGCACGTGTTTGAATGACTTGTGCCATCTTCTAAATTCGCCTCTACATTGTGCCTTTATCTTATTTCCCCACTTGGAAATTAAACAATATATTGTCAAGAGAAAAAAAGCAGATTGTAAGGCAGAAGAAAAAAACACACTTAAATGCTTGTCTTTTAAAAACCCTCCTTTATTAAAGTGCATCCTTGGGGAATGGACGCTCAGCTGGCAGAATCGTGTTTGAGGAGGGCAGGAACTGGGGGAGGGACGTTCTCAGTCCTTCCAAGGGAAAGCCCCTCTCAACCCCGCCTCAGCTTAGGACCGAGAAGTTATCTTCCTGTTTAAAAAGCAGGCGGCTTTAGAGGCTCAGGACCAAAGTGCTTTGCTCAAGTAATGGAAAAATCAGGCCTCAAAACCTGTGTTTGTTGTTTCTTAATTTCCTGTTAAGAAGTAGGCGGTGAAAGGGTGGTGTGGAGGTGACGGGAGGGCGATGTCATCTACACCTTGCAGTCAGGGCACTCAGGACACCTTTTCTCTTGTGGAGAATCAGGGTTTGCTAAAAATCTTCAGCACGTGTCAAAAGCTACAGCCTCCACCGGCAATGCCTGTTCGTATTCTCTTCTATCTTTAACCTCCAGCCATCCCCTCAGCTCATCCCGCCTAAGAACTGCACCTGGAGAGAACAGCTTCCCAGGCATAACCGATGAAGGAGCAATCAGACTTTAAGAAGCAACAGCTGAGGTGGTTCCCTTTCCCAGAGACGGAATATCAGAACAACAAAATGAGTCACTTAGGTTGTGCAGAAGCAACCAGGAGCGCTGCCCTTTAGAATCAGCGCCCAACTGGCGTGGTCCAGGGGGTCCAGCGTGAGGGAGTGGCCGGCGCCGGGCCACCTGGCCCTCCCTTCAGTCCATCCGCATTTCCCTTGTTGCTCTGAGTGGGGCGCTCTGGGAGAGGACGCGAACAGGAGTAATAACTGAAAGGTGCTCCTTGCCAAGGACACTTCTCTTTCTCTCAAGAGTTTAAATTCATCGGAAAAGTAACTGCATCACTCAGCATTAAATACAGAGCACACTGGGGCTGAGCTCGCAGTCTGGTACCTGCTACACCAACACGTTGCAAATACTCCACAGGAAGATACTTGTCCTGCAGTGTGAAGGCCACATTTGGGAATAAATCTTCCGGTAGCATTGCTCTGCATGTTTTGGAGTGATTAAGGATTCCTATCTCAGTGGGAACAAGCTGAATCACATACGCATCCGTTTCTGGATCAGTATAATCAGGTTTCACTAGGGGGAGATGTTTTCTTCCAGAAGGAGCAGTTGAAATACAAGTAGTCCACTCTGAAGTCACAGGTGAGAAAAGAACTTTAAGATAACGAACAATCCTAGACTCTCTCTTACCAACTTTCAATCTGTCACGGCATCGTTATCTTCTACTGTTTCGCGTAAGTAAAGCAATAGATGTGAACTTTTCTAGACCAAGTCAGACAGATACACTATTGGCCTTATGGGCAGATTTCCACTTCTCCACAAGCCACTGTATTAAAAACATTCCATTCCCAACCACGAGGACTCAGGTTTGTCCTGAATGTTGGTAGATTTTACCCTGGTGACATAATCCTTATGGCTAGAGTTAAGAAGTGACTGTTTCATTCAGAGAATTTTTCATTGTGTGTGGTGTGTGTTTTAATATTTGAACTAGGTGATAGAAATTCTTTGGTTAAAACTAAAAATCGCTACCGAAGAGTAGTTGCTTGGTCGATCTCAGGAAGTCGGGGGGTGCTCCCTGTATCTGAAGGTCAGCTCACCCCACGTACCCCTGGGGGTCCAGCATGGACTGCCAGAGTCTGCTCTTATTTTCCAATCATTTCATTAGCTGCGCTGACCAAGAACTTGAGTGTCCTTTGGATGTTAGGATTGTGTTTTCGGAACCTAAGGTCAGACCAAGTGTGTGTCCTTGTGAGAACTACAAGATTATCTAAATTGGCCCCACCTGTGTAGAGGGCAGACGGTTGCTGAGAAGGGGAAGAAGAATCTGCTGATTATCTTCAGTTTCATTACAACCTGCAGGGTGTTCTCAACACATTGCTTCTAGCAGGAAGCACGATGTCAGGATTGGGTTTTTGTTCTTTTCTCCTGATGAAGAGTAGATCAGCCGAAAGGCAGGTTCAGGAGGGGGAGGGGGGCAGAGTAAGCCTCAACGAAGAGTGAGCCCGTGTAGCGAGGGCAGCTACTGGCACTTCACTTAGAAAAAGGAATTGCTATTGAGGTCAAACATGTTAACCTAGTGATCAAAACTGTCACCTAATAATAATTCCAGTCATTTTGAGGAGATGAGGGCATCAAAACAGGCATGAATTGAACTCAGTTCAAGGAGTGAGTTAGGTAGAAAGAGGCACTTTTAATTTGAAGGAAGAACGAAATGGAAGACCACATTGGCAGGGAGAATACAGTTCCGGGGAAAATTCTATCTTTTCCTTTGGTGCCGGCCAAGGACTGGCCTACAAAATACAATTGTCTTGCTAGAGATCACTGGGAACAATCCAAGTTATTCCAGACTGCCCCGGGATTCTACCTCTGCTTCTTTGTATTCTGGAAGGAGGCGACAAACCAGCAGTTAGTCAAAACTTGTGCTAAAGACCACATGGACTAGCCAGTTTGTCCTCAGTGGTGCATGGACACACCGCAGTGAGCGACACCACTATGAATGTCCCCGTGGAGAGGTGAGAACAGGGCAGAGCCCCCCAGACAGCTGCTGCCTTCACGTAAACAGCCTGTGAACACCCCTGAGAACAATTCCAGCCTGAGCTTCCAGTGAAGCAGCTGCCTGCTGAGGGCCCCTGTAGCATAAACAGACGTGGAAGACCTGAGCTTTCAAGTAGGGACGTGGCACGCGGGAGTGATTGTGGGGTGCAACCATAGTGGGGTGTAAAGAAAGGACGGTGTACAGCTGTTTCATTAACATGACAGTTTCCAACTCTCCATGGAGCTGTCTAGAAGGCAACTGAGAAACACTGACTGAACTTGAAGCCATCAATATTCTGAGAGATGGAAGGTTTTACCAGCAAGGCCTGCTGGTCACCCTTGGCTGAGGTGGTGACATCTGCATGCCAGAGGGCAAGCCGTGGCTGTTGGCCACCCGGCTTCACACCACGGCTGTGGTACGGGAGAAGGCAGAGAAAGGAAGCGAAGTTTGCAGTGATGCTTGCGAACCTCTCGGTGGCCCCTGCATCAGGTGAGCCTGTGTTCACGCAGACATGTTCACATCAGCCCAGAAGGTAAGAGCTAGCCCAGGGACGGCCACTTACTGGATCATGATGCCCCTCATTCGACAGTTAAAGAGAAAAGCAGCTGGTACAATTAGTTGGGCACGGCCCTGAACCCCCTCACTCTCACGCTCCTGCGTGTGCGCACGTTAGGCCGGCCGCCACGGGACCTGTGGGCGGTGAGCAGGGCTCCCCCCTCTCAGGGCGCGGGGTGGTAAACATGGCTGCCTGGTGCCCACGCAGTTCTGCTGAGAGCTGGTGGCTGCTGCACGGCAGGGCCAGAAGTGACAGGTAAAAGCCCCCAAGTTCGAATCAAAAATTGAAGCCACTGCTTTGTCTCGTATGCTAGAACACTAGGAATGTTTCTGTGGTCTATAAAAGGGTAAGAGTCTGAGTAGCTACTAGAACGGTGAAGGCGAAGTGGTCTGTCCGGCCTTTGAGCACCCTCTGGCGTTACGGTGAACACTCCACATCTGCTAACATTGCAACTACCCCACACACTGAAGGGAAATGGTACTCTGGCATGGAAGAAAGATGCACCCAAAACCACAGCCGGGCCTCCTCGGTGACGCGCAGCTTAGCAGGAGGCTGGCAGCAGAGCTCAGCTCTTGAGGAGAGGAAGCATTTTGCCTGGCATCAGTTGTGTTGCTAATACTTGAAGGGAGAGCAGGTGAGGAATTATGAAAAAGGCAGAAGCCATTTCCCTTAAGTGACCAGAAAACCTAGAGATCCTCTTGAAAATAATTACCACCTCCAATTTATCAAAAGGTAAAAAGAATGAGAAAGAAAGAACTTCTTACCTATAATACCTTTTATTTCTACAAAACATCTCAAAATAATTTTAAAATTCTATGGGTGTGACATTTGTCCACATATCATGCCTATAGGGAAGAAGGCAAGGGCAGGCATGTCTTTCTATTATCAAGGAAATTAGACAAAGGCTGAGGAAGTTATTTCTGTCAGAAGGTGATGGTTATTGTGCTTCAAAGCATGTCCTATTCACTGCTTATCCCCTCGGCACAAACCTAGGTAGCGGCTGTACTTGATTTAGGAGGAGGACCTGAAACAGGTGAGAGGGACAGAGGATGCCCTCAGGTGAACACGTGAACCTGGTGGTAACCGTGGTTTATGCTAGAAAGCTCTCTGGAGAGCAGTAATCATTGGGAGAGTCCCCCTAAGGCACACTGTAGATATTGACAGTTCTGTGGGCCCACAATGGTCACCATGGCAATACAGAGAATAAATTGGCATTCTTTAATTCTGTTTTTCTCAGAACCTTCACTGGCTTTGTGCCAGGTGATCAGAACGCATTACCTTCGAGAGAGCAGGTAAGCATTCCAGAGCACTAGCAAACTCTTCCCAGAGCACGAGCAGTAACAGGGTGACGGTCTCAACTCTGCATTTAGGTCCCATAAACAAGCGGGATGTAGAGTCCTCCCTTACCTTAACTGGATGTTCTGTTTAAGTTACTAAGGGAGCGAGAGAGAATGGCTTCCTGCTGCCGGCCCCCCCAAAACATGTAGGTGGGCTGAGAGAGTTTTCCGTGACATAATAGCAAAAAAATACGAGCTGCTGTGGGCAGCAGTCTTTGATCGGGCTGTGTTCTTCCACCGCCAGAGGGGAGAGTAAGGAAGAGACACCGACACATTCTAGCACTCAGGAACCAGTAATGATTCACTCTAGAGCGCGCCGCAGAGAAGAGCCAAGCGCCACGGCCCAGCAAGATGCAGCTGGCCAAATCCCTTCAGGTTAGTGTTCAACAGGTGGGACAGCCGAGCGGCACCGAAGCGGCAGCCCACCAACGCCCTGCCCTTCCGGGGAGGGCGCAGGCCAGCTACCCCATGCCAAAGTCCCTCTCACCAGCGCAGAAGGGAACCTGGCTTCTGCTCACACTTAAAGGCAGTCGGTCAGTGGGTTTGAAGACTGCGAGCTTAGGGTGAACACCGAAAGGGCTTCACTGTGAGGGGAGCTAGGACTGAACGCACCCTTGCCCTTGCCCTGTGCGAACAGATGCAGCAGTTGGACTGCGGGATAAAATCCAGTGTCACAGCCCAAGGAGGAGAAAAATCTTTACTTCACCAATACCCCTTCCCCGTCGCTTCTAGTTGTATTTATCAAGCTGCACCAAAACCCTTCAAAACATCACTTCCTAAGCGGGACTCTGAGAGCTGCAGAATGCAAATAACCTGCACAGTAACGCTAAGGCCAGGAGCACACTTCAGGGCTTTCCTTGACCGACTTTTAAACTGACTGCTTTAGGGAGGTTTACTTAAAAAAACTTTTTTCAAAAAGAAAGCACATTTAAAACGTCATGTTTTGGTGACCCAGGTAGGTAATATGATTTTATTACAAATTTCAGGATCTAAAAAGTAATGTTACATTGACTAAGAGAAATCTGAGATGACTATCGGGCACGTGTCCTGCAGTGACCTGACCCCCCGCCATGCTGAGACCCAGCCCGCCCTGCAGGGTGGCCCCAAGCAGAGGAGACTGCTGACCCTCAGCTAGCACACACTGATTAGACCATGTTTTGGTTTCTCCCTCTGGCATTCGGGCTGTGGAGAGTTGGGGAAGAAACCTCCATCCCTAAACGCTGAAAGCCAAACTAGAAGCTTGAGGGTAGCTTTGAGGAATTCAAGTTTATCTCTTCCCATTTTTTTAATTTCAATGGCATTTAAGGAGCTTTTCTGTCTTTAATGAGACCGATGATTCCGCCGGCCTGTGAGCCCTAGGATGGAAATCCTTCCCACATGGTGAGAGACCGCAGGAGCTGGCTGACTTCTCAGGGGTGTAAGAAGACTGACCGGTGCCAGGGAAACGTTCTGGCCTGGTGAGAGACAGTGGCCGTCCGCAACAGGCGCCGCCAACAAGTACTCATTGGGCAGCTGGGGGCCACAAACTGAAGGCTGGGAGAGACCTCACGAGGTCCCCTGGCCACCCTCCTGCTTCCGAGAGAGAAGGCTCGCTGGCCAGTGTCGGCCTCTGCACTCTCGGCAAGGAACCCTAGGCCTCTGACATTTTTTAAGATTACTAAAGGCAGCATCTTTACAAGGGGGAGCTGTAGGAAGCATCAGGGACTTAGGGTGCAGAGCCAGCACCCTCCCGGGGGTCTCAGAAGGAACCTGGGGTCAAGAGGGGCAGTGCCGTACCTGAGAGGCAGCTGTGACAGGAAGGGAGAGCACCCTCGCGCTACAGGACGAAGAAGGTGGGAAGAAAGAAGAGCCCAAAGGAGGCTACGAAACAGCAAGTTCACCGAGAGAGATGAAGGCCCAAGGCAGGGCGGGGCCAAGCAGCAGACCCAGCTACCAGGACCCTCAGGAGGCTCCTGCCCAGATGCTGCCACCCCGCCCTCCCCCAAAGCGGTGGGGCTCATGGAGCAGCGTCACCCTGGGGACACTGGCGATAGAGACACTGCTCATTGTCAAGCTGGGGAGAGGGTGCTCCCAGTAGAGAGGGGGCCAGGCTGTCGCTGACACCTGACAACACAGGCCGGTCTCCCACACAGACTGTCCGATGCCCTCATGCCAAGGCTGAGCAGCCCTGTCCTAGAGGCAGTTCTCTGCTCCTAAGAGTCTGAATCCGGCGAGCGTCAAGGCGCTTGGAACTTGGAATCAGACAAACACCCCCCCCTCGAGCCCCAGAGTGCGGACCTGCTGTGCTGGCAGAAGCCCCCCCGAGTATCCCAGAGTTTCACCAAGGTCCAATGAGCTGCTGGCAGTTCAGATTCAGTCAATACAGCCAACACCTGACCTCCGAGTCGTCTTCCTCCTCTCCTGAAGTCTACTTCTTCCTCAGAGCCAGCGCCACGCCCACGGCCATCGCCAGGAGAGCCACGGCGGCGGCGCCTCCGAGCAGCAGCCCGGCCTTGCCCTCGGCCAGCGGCCCGGCCTTGCCTGGCCCCGCGGGGCCGGGCCCTTCCGTGCTCTCTTTCCTCGCGGCCGGCGCCTCCTCCCGCAGCAGAGTCTTCCCGGGCTCCGGGGCGGGGGCCGCCACCTCCTGCGCGCGAGCAGGCTGGGCCGTGGCCGCTTTCACCTCCTCTTCGTCAATTTCTATGAACAAGGAGGTGGGGGGGCTAACTCTCTCAACGGCAGCCGCTTCCGTGCCGGGGTCCCTCGGCTGCAGCGAGGAGGTGGCAGTGACAAGTGGCAGCAGGGAAGCGGGGGCGTCAGGGAAGGCTTCCTGCAGCTCCCTGGCCGACAGGACCACAGAAGCAGCGGCGGCCTCCTCCAGGCCCTCGGGCAGCTCTTCTTTCTCCACGTGCACAATGTCAGAATTGGAAGAGTTGTTCTCACTCTTCTCTCCGGCCCCATTACTGTCTAAGCTCTTGACTTCTTCCGGATCCATGGCGATCTGCTGCCAGGACTCAGGGCCGAGCGACACGGGCAGGCTCTCTGCGTGCCAGCTCTGGCTGGCGGACAGTGACACCGGCAAGCTCTCTGACTGCCAGGAGGTGGTCACAGTTGGGGACTCTGGGGGACTGACTTGCCCAGAGTTGTCACTGGGCAGGATGTAAATGTCGTTGCTGTCTTCCGCTGTGATGCCAGGGCACTCCTCCTCTGGCTCAAGATTAAAGACGGTGCCCTGGGGAAGGGGAGAGATCAACACAGAAAGGGTAAGTGTGTGGAGAGAGTTCTAAGTCTGAAAAAACAGTTCTTTCCTAATCCTGAAATTTCAGGATTAGGAAACATGTTAAAACCTGTGTAGCTTCTGGATTGAATGCATTTAAGTTGTAGAATGATGCAGGGGAAGAATTTTTAACAAGATTAGAGTCCATGAAGCCCAAAACCCAAAATATTGATTTATATTCAATTTAATGTGTACATATGTTCAAAGCAAAACAGCAGAGAAAACAAAGGCAAGAACCTTGTTCTCGGTAATGTACAACCATAATGTCCCTGAGAGTTCATGTGGGGAAACTTTTGGTGGATACTGGAGGGGGCAGGGAGGTCACTGGTCACTTCACAGAGGGGCCAGCCTTCTACTGGACATCTGAAGGCTGAGTAGGTGTCCACGCTCAAAGCCATGTAGAAAAAATGCCTTCTACAAAGGCCCTTTACCTGGTGGTGCAACAGGTTAAAATACAGCACCTTGAAGCTATTATCCACTTGACCCCCAGCCAGGGAGCTGACCCACACGGCACAACAGACCTCTCCTGACCTGCCTGCTGCTCCCCTCAGTAGTGTAATTTCAGTAGGTCTGCCTGTTCTGCTCCCCACTCTCTCTCTGGTGAATCCTCTTACCCCCCCCTCTAGCCTGTACCCCAGTTCTTGTATGCATAAATAAAAAATAAATCTTTCAAAAAAGAAAATACCAGCAAAAACACAGAAACATTAAAAAGTGGAACAGCAAATACCCCAGTTAATTAATCACAGTGTACATGAAGACTACAGGTCAGTCAGGACAGGACTGTGGGGGAATCTGACAGACAGCTAAGAAATACGGACTTTCTTCCGTAGGTGATGATTTGTCAGTGAAATTTCTTGAGCTATAAAATGATCACCAGAGAGCTACCTAAAATTACTCTAATTCCAGAATATGGGGAAACTGTCATGTGGCCACTTGCTTCCCTCTTCAGCAAGAATTTACATAAACCAATAGTGTCGGCCTCCAGTACACATTCAAAAACGGCACAGCCGACACCTGGGCGATGAGGAAAAATGAAACCCAGCTTTGGTTCTTAAAAAATTTACGAAATTTATATACAACTGCTAAGACATGAAAACAATCTAAATGCCCCCAAAAGATGACTTGATCAAAAAAGTATGGTATATACGCACCAGGGGTACGATTCAGCAATGAGGAAAGGCAAGCTCATGCCATGCGCAGCAATGGACGGAGCTGGAAGGGGCTGTGCTCGGGGAAGCCCGAAGGAAAGAAAACTAAAGGGCGGCTTCACGCACAGGAGGAACACAGGGGAGCCAAATGCGGGATCAGGGAAGAAGACAGAACTAGCGAAGAATGCAGGGAGCCACTCAGCGGGGGAGGGAAGGGGTGAGGACAAGGGAGGGGAGCTCAAGAGAGGGTGGCCATGGTTCACGGGGCCCTGGTGATGGGGATTACATCTAAGAGGAGGAAGAGCAACGATGTGAAAAACAGAAAAAAAATTTAAAACTGAGTGTGTAGATTGAAGACTGAGCTGTGACTAACGAATTTCAGTGTGATCTGGTCAGCTTTAAGGTAAGTGCACAGACGCCCAGAGCCAAGGGACCAGGAGTTCAGACTTGCTCAGAGGAGCAGGAAAGAACCGTGGAATGGACCGGCGGAGACCTCCAGGCAGGTCTGCCAAGGCCTGGGTGGCACCCACGTTTGGAGCGAGCTTGAGCAGGATGTGCACAACGAATTCTTCACTTATGGTATGAGTATGTCTGAATATTTTAGGTCATATTGTTCTTCTACCAAGGCCGCAGTTGGTGTACACCAACGACTAACAGAAATCCGCAGTATTTGCTGCCACACCGCCAAGTCAATCAGAAATACAACTAAGCAAGTCAACGGTCAGAATGCCAACATCTGACTGCCCCACATTCTACTTTACTTCCACTCAGGCCTTGCCCTGGTAGAGCTCAGAGACTGTCCGTAAATGCATACAAGCAGAGAGACAAAACTATAATGATTGAAAAAGCAACTCTTGCAGGAAGAAAGAACTGATTTGAGCCTCAGCTTCGCCAGGTACCAACAGAGTGAACCTGGTTGGCTGGCTTATTAGCATGTTAAACTTCAATTTCCTCATAAATTAAATGGAGATGACTGATTTGATAGGACTGTTAGAATTAAATTAAATTAAATTATAGCACTTACAGCTTAGCACAGTACTGTGTACATAGTAAGCAACAATAAATTATACTATTTTCCACTGTTACTGTTTTTATTATTGTTTTATTGCTATTGCTTTTTTTGGTGGCATGGTGGTGGACCAAAGAGTTATACTGAAATAACCACCTCAGTAGAAAAGTTAAAAAGTAAAAACTGAGGACCTGGGGGCACAGGGGTTAAAGACACAGCACTACCAAGCTCTTGCCAGCCACTGCAACAAGGGTTCAGTATGACCCACATGGCACAGCAGACCTCTCCCATCTTGCCCACTGTTCCACCAGGGAGGCCCTCTTCTGTAGCACTGAAATTTACATTCATAAAATTTACATAACCTAAATTCAGCATTGTTTTAAACATTTATTTATTTATGCATACAGAACTGGGGTACAGATTAGAGGTGCAGTGTGGCGGCGTGTGTGAGAAGATTCATCAGAGACAGAGGGGAGCAGAACAGGCAGACTGATGAAGTACACTGCCGTACTTCTCCTGTATGTATGTATAAATAAATAAAATCTTAAAAGAAAAGTATCTCTGCCATAAATGCTATTACCTAAAAGTATTATTTTTCAGGCTTCAAACTCCACGACTTAAGAGGGACCTAAGATAACTATAATCTTAATGATATCCAATCTCTTTTAAACTTTCATTGTATTTTCATCAATACAGTGGTAATATAAAACCACTCAATAGTTCCGGGACTATCATCAATAATAAATGATAACAGAGAGTCCCTCACCATCCAGTGCCAGCAGACAGGCCGCACGTCACTAGCAGGCGTCATTAATTACAGAGAGCCAGAAAAGAATGCTTGTCCTCCTGAACAACAGGACATACATCTACTAACTCTACATCATTCTCTGTCTTACGCCATACTCGGTAGTTTTTCATTCCAGTTAGCATCTTCTTCTATTTACTCAGTAAGAACTAAATACATGCCAAGATATTTATTCTTAAGTGACCCTTAACATGTCTAAATATATTTTCTTTTCAACATTTTCTATATTTCTAGCATAGCAATCACTACCTTTCACCAGAACTAATGCAAAAGTCTCCTGTCTTCTTGACCCTGTAATCCAATTTGGAGGTGAGAAGCACCATTTCACAAGTCAGCTAAGCCGAAACACGAGGAGTCGTGCTGGACTTCTGCTTCTGATTGCCGGCAAGTGTGCTATTTAGAGGCTGATGATAAAACATATCACCTCTGCCCTCAGAGAATTTAAAATGGAGTTTAAAGCCGAGTGAAAGAGGAAAAAACACAAGGTACTCTAAGAGAAGGAGAGACACTTACTGGGGGGATCCACCAAAGGCCTCTTAGAAGAGAGAACATCAGAGCCGGATCTTAAAGAATGAACAATGATCAACATATCAAGATGGTCCAAGAAGCAGGAAAGTAAATAAACATGCAGCACTGAGAAACCACATATTGTATGTGGACAACTAGTAAGTCTTCTATATTTCAGTGCTAAGACAGTAAGTGAACAAATACATGGGGCCCTCCCTGGTGGTACAACGGGTTAAGCACAGCACTATGAAGTTATCCGCAGCCTCCGCAGCCACCGCAGCACGAGTTTAATCGCTGGCCAGGAGCTGACCCACAGGGTACAGCAGACCGCTCCTGACCCACCCGCTGCTCCACTTAATATGGATTTCAGTTAATCTGCCTGTTCTGCTCCCCACTGTCTCTGGGTGAGTCCTCCCACTCCCCGATACCCTGCCCCTGCCCCTCTGGCCTATACCCCAGCTCTTGTATGCATAAGTAAATAAATAAATCTTTTTTTAAAAAGTACAAGGCAAAAAAAGAAGAGGCACGATGCATGCATGGAAAGTAAAATATCAATGTCTTTCTGGATATAAAACAAGAATATGCCTGTTCCATGGGTCAGTGTTTCCCTACAGTCTTGCAGACTTTGACAAAGATCTTGGTTCCACTGAAAAACCTTTCTCCCATCCACCACAGGCATTCTGTGACCCATCAACAACTGAGAGCTGAAGAGACGAACCTGAGGCACCAGAGGCCATTAGATAGAGACTCTGGGCTCCGGAGTAACGCTGTACTTTCAATCTACTTCTAATTATCTGATTCCTTCAGTTAAAAAGAGGGCAAAATCATTCCATATTTAGAATGATATCTCATTTTGAGCATATTAAATGTTTTCAAGAAAACCAAATGTAAAAAAATTTAAAGGCTACATACAGTACAGTGAATGGTTTCAGAGGAGGTTATGCTAAATTTTCCTCTCTAATTCCTAGGGCCATCATCTAGCCCAAGTCTATCTTCACATATGAGGCACCTACATAAGGAAGGCTTGTGCTGATGAGACTGTTTGTTGTTCCTACGAGTGCTGTGCTGAATTCCCAAGCCCTGTCTTCTTGTTCATGCAGATACTAACATTTTAGGTAAGCAGAAGACGTTTGGCAAATAGGAAGAAACAGACTTTTCGGTTAGCACTGTGCTTCATACAGTACAGCATACTATGTTAGGGGAGATCTCAGACTCCCTGAAACAGACCCATGGAGCCCAATTATTACAGTTCCTTATCTGGCTCTATCAGGGTATCGCTGAAATTTCATGTCCTCCGGACTCTAACCTTCCTCTTATATTTCTCCTGAACTCACAGCTTGGAGTCTAGGCCACACAAGGTATCATAATTATACATGTGTACCACATATTTAATCTTTTTGCATTAGTCATCTCCCCAACTAGATTTAATACCTCATGGTTATCCTCATGTAACACTAACATTTGCTGAGCAAAGAGTAATACTCAA